TGCTACCATGTTTGATTGCTCTCATTGTGATTATTTTTATTTTTTTTCCCCTAATATCAAATTGAAATTTCCCTTCCTGTAATTTGTGTTTGTTCCCTCTTGTCCTTTCACTGCTCATCTCCAAGAAAAGTAGTATTAATCCTATTTGCAGTGTAAGCTTTATTTGGTTCAGTTACCAGCACAAAATATTCTGGTCTTAATCGTAAGACCATTTTGAACATTGTCTATTTTGAACAACATGCAGTGATTAACAGGAACTTAACCACTGGCACTGAATTGGCCTTTATCAGTACAACTGAAATAGTTCACAGCTGTTCTTTGCGTGCGTGTGCTGCAAGGACTGCAGAAGCAACACCACTGATACTGTAGTTTTAATCTTTAAACATAAAATAAATTTAGCCTGCTACAGAAGTCTTACTCTGTAATCAGTTTCAGACAAAGTAGTAATATCTCAGTGTGATTGCTGTCACTGTTATTTGCACTGAGGAATACCTTTATTTGTCAGTAGAGGACCTCTGGAATTGGTAACCTCAGTGGTACTGTGCTTTGAGAAGGTGTCTGGGCCTGCATTTGAATCGGAGTTTTCCCTGTAAGCGAACCTATTTTGATGCAGGGTGTGCCATGGTGAGGCCATTCCTGGAACATCAGAGCAGTGCACAGTGCCAGCTGAGCTGACACACATGGACTATCCTTCAGTCTTTGCCAGCAATTGATGTTAAAAGCAGCAAGTATAGGACTGGTGAGAGTCCATCCTAGAAGATCCATACTGAGGCAGTATCATGTGGAGATATGAGTTGAAACATGTCATGTTTTTCTGCTTCTAGGCCTGTGTTTCTAGGCATAACTTGAGCTTACTTACACAGTATTGACTGTGGTGGCCACACAAGTATAAGGAGGTGAAAGGGTGCCATTTTTGCCTGCTATTTTTCCTTTTTCCAAATCCCGTAACTATTTTTTTTTTAAATAGAAATGACACTGCTCTCAAAGGTATGTATTTTTTTCCTAATATATTTTTTTTTCTCCCCTCTCTCTACAGTTCTTTGCCTTCGTGGTTACCTCCTGCTATGCTGGAAATACGTATTTTAGCTTTATATCTTGGCGATCACGAACTTTGCAGTAAATATTTTGTTAAAATGAATTCTGTAGTATAAAGTATCTTGAGGATTATACTCTTTTGATAAAAGCTTGGAAGAGGGAAGAGGTCTTTTTGAACATTTCTGTTAGAATGGATGCGATATATTTTAAGATGAGATTAAAATGATTATTTATAATGTCATCTTTAGAGTCATCTAACACTGACTTTGTACTGTATAATAAAGTTTCATACTGCTACTTTTAAAATTAACATGGTATTTTTCTAGATATTGTATAGATATTACTAAACCTTTAATAAATCTTACTCAATGTGCCAATTTTGTAAATGCAACTTTTTAAATGCTACAGGTATAATTCTGATACTGAATGCTGCAAATCTAAACTAAGATTGATACTGTCTCATTATGTATAAAAAGTGACATTGTGCAGAAAAAAAACCAACATCCGAAACTTTAAAAATAAATAAATAATTGACACAACTGTGCATGTTTTGTAAACTGGGAGTAGAAAGTTGCTTCTTTAAATTTCTTTTTCACAGTGCAGTATATGCTGCTAAGAATTCTGATGGTCCTGTCAGTTTGCATATTCTACCAGCTTCTCACAGTCACGAGACTGCTTTTGGAACCTGTTCCTGTAGGTCTGAAGGAACGTTGCGCATGAAAACATTGTCTTAACAGGTTTCTCACATCCAGCAGGCTCCAAGGCAAAAGTCTAGACGACAGCCCCTTAATGCTCAGTGTTTAACCTACTGGGAATATCACAAATACCTACTAAAGGTAATACATTCTGTTTCTCAGGGGACTGGTTTTTTTCTTTTCTCTTCATGTTAGGCCATTAATCTGTCCTAATTAAAATCTAGGCTTCTAAATCCTATTAAATGATATAAAGATTAAATCCATAGAAGAATTGTCAAGATGCCAGTGCTAGAAACAAAGAATTTCCTCCCTCCTTCGCTGTCTACTGGCATAATCTGTGAGTTGTTAGTTTAACAAATGAAGTTTTTAATTTGAAGCTCATATTTAAATATCTTTGAGTCAAGCAGAAGTATGACAGAAGATTATGAATTTCAAAACAGATACCTTTGAAAATTACTTTCAAATACAAATTACCTACGGATTTTTTTTTTCCAGGAATTATGTGGAAAGGTTGTGATTATTTTGTGATATTATTTAAAGTTTTCCTCATTTAAAACTGCTGCTAAATCTTTTATTACTGGATTAAGAAGATTTGGAATCTCTTCTAGTCTTCAGAAACTTAGTTGGAAGATTATATGTGATAGCAGAGAAATCTAACTGCTTCAAAAAACTTGTTTATTTCTCCCTGTAACTAAATGGTGTGTGCTTACTTATGTGCGTGCCTTGCAGCAAAGATTTATCAGCAGTCAGCTAATTCTGTTCTCGATCACATTGTTTTATTCTTGATTATCTGTTGGAGTCACAGGATTTCAGTGTAAGGCAAGCCAAGATACTATTAAAAAAACCCCTATATTTGTCTGCAAATTGCATCTGGCCTGTACAACAAAGGTCAGGCTGTCTGCTGCTTGCTAAAATTATCCAGTTGTGAGAAGGAAGAAGGGCTACCAACTATGCATTTTATCTACACAGATAAAATGTGTCATTAAAACCCCGTATGCTCTTTTCCATTGCTGGAAAAAAATCAAAGGCATAAAAATGACCCAAATGTCAACTGATAAAATGTGACTAGAAATACAGCTAAAATTAAAATCTCGTCAGTGATTTCTCATCAGTAAAAATACTTCAGTAGTAATAGAAATTATTTCTTAAATTATATTTGTTGTACCTATCTTAAATGCAAAGAACATTATTATGTTTGCACAAATGTTTCATGATTTTTTGGTAACTGCAATGGTCTTGTGTAAAATCCTAACCCAGATAACATCTGTGACTAGAGGTAGTAAGAGGGAGTAAAGCTGCAAGTGAGTAATACGTTTCATCTGGTTTACCAAAAACTATCACAGAAACTGTTGCATGTCAGAGTGAACCCCTTAATGAAGGACAAAACCACACTGTTACCAAATAAGGAATGATTCTGGCAAAGTATCTGCCACCTCTCTGAGTCTTGTGCTGATCCTCAAGGGAAGATGTGTGGGATGTCTTCCAAAGGCAAATCTGTGAGTTAAATCCTTAGTACGTGTTTTTTTAAATTCAGAATTAAGTAGAAACTTACTTTATGCTTGGCCTTGCCTTTTTTTCTCCAACCTTCTCTGTCTTGCTCTTTCCCTTTAGAAAGATAATTATCTTACTTCCTATGCTTTTTCTCATCTGTCTAATTTCTCATCTGTTCCCCGGATACCAGCTGTCGTTTTTTTCTGAAATATCTAGGTGTTCTGAGTATGTAGGTAAAATTGGAGGAATCAGGCAAGCTTAAAATTACTTCTGAAGTTTGCGTCTCCTATTTCAGGCCTCAAGAAAGGCATGAGCCCCCAAAAGGCTTATCTGTTTCTTCCAGTGCATTAGTCTTAAATACTGGCTTGCAAACTGCGGCTTTGGCTTTTGTATGTTCTAATATTGGTAAAGAAGATAAGCTAACTGTGGGTTATCACACAATAATTAAAACAAGATTTGTGTCTGCAAGCATTGGTTAGAGCTTCTAAGATTGGAAGAACCCTTACTTAAAAGAACAAATGGGTAAGTGATGAAATCATTAGTGAAATTCTTAATACAGATATTTGGAAGAATAAAAAAACGCTAATCAACTTGCAAAATGAAAGTATTTGACGTTATAAATAACTCGTTTCAGACAAACAGTCTCTCTGAAAAATCTAAGTCACCCACATATGTAAGGATACTTTAAGTCAACTTACAGGCATAAAATTTAATTTATTAAGGAGTTGTCAGTACGTGTTGTCATGATCATACAGGCTGCACTTAAGTTGAAGTAAACAGCATGAGAACTGTAATAAAAACTTCAAATTCAGCGGTGTCTTAGATTGACTTTGTGCTGGGGTTTACAGAAAATGCCTGTATTTCTGAGTAAAAAATATGACTCTTACTCTTATTAATTTAAAGGTATTTCTATTTCACTGGGCTGAACTCATCAGCAGGGCCCCATTCATCTATGCCTTTTCAAAAGAAGTTACGAACTAAAGAAGGTGAATCAGTGGGTAAGAAAAATGTATTTCTTCATAGGAAGTACAGAAGTTACTGGAACCTTCCTCTACAGGGCTTGCAAGAAACCTAGAACTGTGCATGCTTCTGAACTCGAACGGTAAGGAGGGGGAAAAAAAAAAGGAGCTTGAAGAAAAACCCCAACCAACAAACCAAACCCCTCGTTTTCAGCAGCTAGCATTGTGCTGTTGTGCAGATGGGCATGGTTGTAGCTCTGATGTCTAACCACAGGTGACAAAAGTTGGTGGGAAAGGTTAATATTTTTTTATTGCAAGTGCTAGCTGGCTTACCAGAAGCCAGACAGGTACTGCTTAGTCTGTTACAGACCATCGCCTCCACTGGAAGAGCCTGTCTCACTCATGGAAATTAGGGATGCTAGCCCCGTATTTGTCTTGGAGATCCTCTCATCTCACCTGTCTTTGTGTTGGAGATCCTCTCACCTCACCTGTCTTCCCTCCTAAGACAGTTTTTAGTTGCTGAAGGAGCTACTAAATACTAAACGTGCACAGAAGGCGCATCCTAACTGCAGAAAATTGGGGCTGTTCCTCTAATGGGTATGAAAGTGGCATCTGCCCAGCTTGGAGACCGGCAGTTACCTCACTTGTCAGCAAGCTAAACAAGTTATTTTTAAACTCGAGGAAACGCATAGCTTCTTCCTTCGCTGCATTTTGTTGGTGTCCCCGCGTGAGTTAATCCAAACGATGAGGGTTGAGACGGTTGGGACGGCCACTGACCGCGCTGCAATTAATGCAAATGTTTTA